AGCTTTTCTGACATTATTTAAAACATTAGATAGATTATATAAACTGTAAAATATTAATAATAATTGGATTAATATTATTATTATAGTTTTAATGATTTCTACATCGTCAGTCCTTTTTTCTGCTCAGTTGTCAACATGTACAGTAATGGGAAATCCAGACTCTTGACCGTTTAGCGTTAGCCTTTAGCTTCACCAGCTGATCACATGGTCACCTGGTTTCTGTGCACTCCAGTTGTTCTATAGAAGCTCCTTGGTGGAACCTTCCAAACTGTAATTAATAAAAGGCTACATCAACTTAGGTGAGACAGATGCTTTATTTAGTTTATAATCATATAGAAAATGTAGAAAATGAAAAGCATCAGTGTRTACAGTGAGACTTCTTCACTGCAAAAATATCAAAAATATGAAGTTTAGTCATTGAAACCTAGAAACTCGTCCCACCATGTGAGAGACCCTCTGTCCTGGTTGCTGAACATGAAAACTCAGCTCTTTAGCAGAAGACTGGTCAACATCCCTCGTCTCCCAGAACCTGATCAGAATTTTTCCCGGTACCAGCAGAGGCTCCTTAAACCGGGCCGTGACGCTGACCGGAGCTGTGATGACGCCGACCCCTGATGGCCCAACAGAACCGTCAGAGGATCAAAGTACTCCTGAGAACACAACATTTTCTCGCTCGGCCACTTTTCTTACCTTTGTGCTTTTCTATTTCAGCCAAGCAGAGYGACAGAACCCAGAGACCCGGTGCTGTGTGAGACCTGAAGCCGAAGACCCCCGGCAGCAGAGAGAGGAGCTGGTGGGGGGAGTAGTCAGAGAAGGACCACACACTCTGCAGGCCAGTGCTCCTGGGAACTTTGACTTCTACCTGCTTTATATTTTCTGGCACCGCCTCACCTGACTGTCCTGCTGGAACGAAGACATCCAGTTGTTTCACAGTGATCTAAGGTGAGTGAGCAACACAMGCTTTCTGAGCAGAACTCACCATCACTCTGCTCCACCTGGTCTCCATGCTTCAGCAAACACCTGCCGGCTTCGTGGAGCCTGTCTGTGGACCTCAGCGTCAGGACACTCTCCCACACCGGGCTTCCAGAACAAGAAGCAGCAGCCAGACAGATGTCCACCTCCACCCCTGCATCTGTCAGCTCATAGCCCTGAACTCTGACCTGCAGCGTGAAGGAACCCTTCTTCAGCTCATCGATGGGCTGAAGAGTCTTCAAAGTCTGACGCACACGGACCAGACCTGAACACAGGAACACCAAGAAGCCATTAGGTGACAAACACACGCCAAAACAATACATCTGAGCTATAATACTGTGTACATGTATGGTTTATAGGTTTAGAGTGCTGGGGGACAAACAGACCACATCTCCTCACTCTGCWAACATCTTCACATGCTCTACTCTTCATGTTGGTATTTGCAGAGGTCTATAAAGTACTAGAGAAACATAACTAAGTAAAAGTAAAATTTACCTTAACAGAAAATGACTTTGGTAAAAATAAATGTCACTGATGAGAAAACTACATAAGTAAAAGTCATAAAACAGTTCACAAAAATTGGGAAAGTAGAAGCAAAAGTACTTTTCCATGTTCTCTAACAAATAAACTGTTAAATTTACAGAACCAAACTGGCTTCACAAAACCAAGTTGATTAAATTGGTCAATTTCTTTAAAAAAATGTGTATATTGCCTCAGATTTACTCTATTTAGTGGAAATAGTTGATATGATTTAGTTGAGTAAATTCAACACTTAAATTTTTAGAGCACTCCTTTTATGATGAGTTCAGACAGATTTAATTTATAACGAGTAACTAGGTGCTAAACTTTAAAGTAAAGA